TTGAGGAGTTACACAGAATTAAATTTTTTATAAATTATTATTTTAAACGCATGATTACAATTTTTTTATGATATTTTTTATTTTGCATTTATTGTAATACTCTTTGTGTGGTGTATTATTCATATCTGATAAAATTAAAAAAAAAAAGAAACGGACAGAGATATTAATTTTTTTTTATGTGGACACAATTAATAATTTAATTTACTCGGTAAAAATACTCAAAATTTTGATGTATCTTTTAAAGGGTTTTTTTTTCCAAGACTTATATTGTTTAAAGGGAAAAATGTGTGTCATTTTAAATGACACACCTTACATCCTTTTACTCTCATAAGAGGTGGGATTTATATTTTTAAAACTTTTTTCTTTCATTTTTTCTCTCATGATTTATCTCTTTCTCTCACTTAAAATGATATAGCTTTGTGTCCTTTAAAATGATACACATTTTTTTCTTACTTAAAAACTTCCCCTACCAAAAATAAATAAATAAAGTGTACTTTTATAATATATTATTGGAAAAAAGTTCTAAAACTCTCACATGGTTTTCTCTATAATCATTTACCCATTATACTTTATGTTATATCGTTTACTTTCGTTATGGTTTTTTTTTTATCAAGTTAACATCATTAAATATTGGAATAATTTATTCATTTTGCCCCTATGAACAACTTTAAAAAAACACAGGAGATATAAGGAACTAAAAGAAGGAAGTAAAAAGGGGTAAGTAATAAAATATTATACTATGGGAGAGTTTTTAAACTTTTTCCATACAACAATTAAAAAAATGAAAAAAAAACTTTGATGTGAGAAACAATATCAAACTCAACAAGCTAATAGGGATATATGACCATTGCAAATAAAGGGTATTCTGTTCAACATCCACGACAATTTGTTGCCCCAAAATTTTTTTTAGTGCCTCTTTGTGAAAAAAAAATGATAATTGAGATAAACATTGTTATATTTTTCGACCCTTTTTCTGATATATTTAAATTAGGATTAGATAGTATAAAGTTTTTAATTTTTTTTTAAATGACAATACATTTGTTAATGGATGCTCTATTTCTATTATTTTATTCATAATATACTTCTAAATATTAAATTTTAATTTTTAAAAAATATATCAATAAAATTAAAATAAAAAAAAAAAACTATTAAGACAATAATAGTTTTTTCTTGAGTAACTATAAATATGTATAAAAGTAATGTATTCAAATTCAATGTTCGACAAAAATAAACACGTGCGAATGACAAATGTTAGCTCAAAGGGTGAGAGTGTCCAATAAGTAGAAAACTACCCATAAGCTAGCTCAAAGGGTGGGAGTGCCTAAGGCTTTATAAATGTCACATTAGTTGCCCACACAATCAATGTGGGACTATATATCTCAACACGCCCCCTCACGCAAGAGCCTTTTTGAGCTAGAAGCGTGAAATTGCACAGTCCCAATTTTTTGTTTACCTTTTTGTGCTTTTTATTTTAATTCCACTTGAAAGTGGGGGCCGTGAGGATCGAACTTGTGACCTTGTAGTCACTCAAGCTCTGATACCATATAAAGAACCTTGGGATACACTACCTCAAAAGCTAGCTCAAATGGTGAGAGTGCCTAAAGCTTTATAAAGGGCCACATTAGTTGCCCACGCAATCAATGTGGGACTATATATCTCAACAACCAATATAAAGACATACGTGAATATTGATGAACACGACACTTTTTATTTGCAATGGTCTACTTTATTAATTTGTTTAGTTCCGCATTATTCCTAATATCAATTTTTTCCTTGTTTAATGATTCTAAAAAAAAGTTCAAAAAATCCCTTGTGATTTAATTTTGTATTACTTATCCCTTGTGTTTTTTTAATCACTTATTTCTCCTGTGTGTTTTTTTTTTAAGGATAAAATGGATATATTAACTTAATATTTAACCGTGGACTCAAATAGAAAAATTACAGGGAATGTAAGTGATAGAAAGAAAATAATAGAGGACTAAATGATGGGAAATGATATTATACTTACTTTTGTTTATATTCATTCATTTTTAATATCGTTAGATTAAAATATTAAAAGGAGAGAGCAAAAATAAAAGTTGATTAAAATTTTAATTTAACCATATTGGAAACGAGTAGATATGAAAAAAATAGCCACAGCATTTTATTCCCTAAACAGTAATAGCAAGTCTACGGAGGTTCCATCCATCGAAGCATAAATAATGAAAGGGTCGGTGGCGGTTGGCATTTACTTCCTGTGCTTTACTGACATACTTCGTGCAAGTAGAGTTTTATGTAGTTAGTTGGCCAACCAAATTAAATACAAACTTCATCCTAACCAGTTAACCAGGAGTTTGAATTTCTTTCTGCAAGATGAACAGAAATAGCGTTATAAATTAAAATGACTAACAACCACTTGCTATAATTTAACAACGTTAGTCGTTGGCTACACATATGGACTTGAATTTTTGTACGACCTTGCTTGCCATATTAAAAAAAAACTTTAAAAATAAAATTATAATTTTTTTGATAATTATATAAAAATTTTAGCTTCAAAGTTACTAAAAGCTGTTTATTTAAAAAAAGTATATCTTTCAAAAAAAGCTGATACAATTTAAAAAAAAAAAAAAATCCTTCTATGAGCTTTTAGTTTTTAATTTTTGTCTTTATTATAAAAAAAGCTATTTTTATTGTAAGAGCTTTTGTAAAAATTTATTTGGCTTAATTTCTACTTATTAAGAGAAAATAAGTTAAAAAAAATACCTCCCAAACAATTAGTTACAGGAAAACACGAATTTTGAAGAACACTCATTTGTATTTTTGAATAATTAATTTTAATTTGTAAAGAAAAATCTTAATAATGCATTTTTTAAAATTGACAACGAGTATATTACTAGCATTCTGCATTTGTGAAAGGATGATGCTAATATAGGGTTACATATATTGTGTTTCGATAAGAGTGTTTATAAGTTGAGTTGAATTAGTCAAAATTTATGGTCCAAATCAATTATATGATTATGGGGTTTGTTTTTGAAAAAAAAAACTTATTTAACTTAAACTATATTAATTTGATCAAATTTGAATTGGCTTGAGCCGAGAAATTTATATATACGTATTTAAAATTTCAAAACATTCATTAAGAAATTGGCAATGAGTAATTTTTTGATAAAATAAAACATATAGAACAATAAAAAAAACCATAATTTATTAATATGTACATGGATAAAAGTACTCGTGGATAAATTCTCAATGGTTCCCTTTGATAACTAATTAAGGAATTGATACTTTATGAAAGAGAGAAATAAATATATTATCGAATTTCTAAATAACAAAACCCAAAAAAAAAAAAAAAAATTTAATTTATGACAAAAGTTACGGATAGATTATTCTACCTATCACTTTTTCTGCTTATCTTTGTCTATCATCTTCTAACACCGTTAGATCAGAATCTCAAGAAGAGAGAAAAAGATAAATGTTAATTAAAATTTTGATCTAACGATGTTTCATAGTGATAAGCAAAAATAGACAGAAAAAATAATAAGTAAAATAACCTACGACTAAAAGTTATCCATGAAGGTAAAAATAAGTTTCTAAAGAATAAATTGGAAAGATTTATAGTCTATACAATGTTTTTCGCGGATGACCTTTCTAATTATTTTCTGTTCCGTTTTATCAAGTCTACCTTTCGAATAACATAACTGGATGGGTGAACAACCAACCAGAAATTGAAATTGGAATTTTCTTTTGTAAACATTGTAGAATAATGAAGGTTCACTTTAATATTTTTTTCCTACAGAAAATAGCATTGTTTTAAAACTTAGATCAATTCGGCCGGGTCGATCCGATTTTCAGTGATTCGACTAGAGTACCAATTCGAATGACTATTTGAATCGATCATGCACTTGACTCGATTTAAACTGATTGATCCGATCGAGTCTCGGTGACCCGATGGGTTAAACGAAATCTGATTAATATTTTTTTTGTTATTCAAACAAAAGAAGGGAAAAAAAGTCTTAAGCAAGCAGGACCTGCATCATGACTTGGAAATTGAAGGAAAACCCTAAAAACAATTTGATTTTTCAACTTAAAAAATAAAAAAGAAACAAAGCTCTGGTTGAGACTATGTATAATAGCCAACTTTTTATGTCTCCTCATATGTGCTTTCATCCTTTTCTTCCTATTAATATATTCTATAATTGAAAAAAACATATATTTTATGAAAATATTTGGATAATTGATATTAAATTTTTGATCATTTATACTTTTATATTTATAAAAAAATATCCATAGTACAGTAATTTTTTATTTGAATATGCTCTGTATCGACTCAAAGTACATAAAATCTTGAAGATGGTGATCTTCTTTTGTTTCACTTTTTTACTAGCTTGTTATAGTCATTAATTCACAAGATCCACTTATAACATTAATTCACAAATTTCTTATATCTCCCTGAGGGGGTTGGACTCAGGAAAGATAATAGAATGCACCAATTTTATATAATTTAGTTAATATTATTCTTTTATTTTTATGCATTCCATTACCTTTATAAGAATTTGATTAAAAAATCATAAATTACGCAAACCGTTAAGATAAAAAATACAACGCTGTCATTTTCTATTGCATATAGAGATAACATTATTCTTCTACTTATAGCATTTATTACCGTTCACTTTCTTCATATTATTATAAGTAATATATTTATATATTTTTTTAATATGTAAATATTATATCCGATTGAACTCGATTAAATCAATGACCCAGTACCTCAACTGAGTCGATGATCGCTCTTAAGTTTAAAACACTTGGAAAAAATTATATTAAATTTTTTTTTTTTTTTTGAAAAAAATACTAAATATGGAATGGGCTCTGTATGTATATGTATTCAAATTTTTTTTTTTTTTGGTAAATGTATATGTATTCATTAAATAAATAGTTAATTAGAATGTTTACATTTTTTTTTTGATAACAGAATGTTTACATTTTATTAGTGAACGCAGGTGAAGCCGTGAAGGAAGATTAAGCAGTTGGTAAAAATTGGTGGTAAGTGGCTAACCTGCAACTCACACGCCACGGCAGAGAGCGTGTGTGGTTCCGTTTGCATTTCGAGTCCTCGGAAAATCCAAAACGGAAACGACGTTTAACGCCCATTCTCTGTTACTGTAAATTCGATTCAACACTCTTCCATTTCCAAATGAAATCTCAATCATTATATTTATAAATCATTTTCATCTTTTTTAAATCAAATCATTCGTTCATTTTCGTTCCCTTCTCTCTTTCTCTCTCTCTCTCTCTCTCTCTCTCTCTCTCTCTGCGTCTGTGTGTGCTGTGAGAAGGGTATGGCTATTGCAGTAGCAGCTGTGGTGGTCCCATTGGGCTTGCTCTTCTTCGCTTCAGGCCTCGTTGTTAATCTCATTCAGGTAACCACTTTACCCTTTCTCTTTTTAGTCGATTTCTATTTTCGATTTCTCTTTTCCCTTTTTTTTTATTATTATTATCTATTTCTCTTGACTTTGCGCTGTTTATTTTGGTATGATTGCTTAATACTTGATAACTGCTTTGGTAATTTAGCTATTGACGCTGGGAGTAGCATTTATTTGGGGCTGAACCTTATATCTTGGCTTATTTTGTTAATGTTCAGAGGAGGGAACATTTGATGATGCATAATCTGAAAAGCTTTAGTAGTTCATAGGAAAGGGACCTGAGTCGTATTTGCCTCGAGTATCTGGGAACTGTTTAATCGTTTATAGCATTAACTCATCGTATAACATAGAAGGAGTTTTGTACTTGTGTACTACTGAACAAGTTTGGAGAGTTATTTCCAAAGTTTTGTTAATTTGTTTATCATTAATGCAATTTGAGAGCGCAAAAAGATAAGTTTTATATGTTTTTTCTTTTGTTTCATGAAATGTGAAGCAAACAGTAAAAAATAAAAATAATTAGACAGGTCTTTAATTACTTCAATTAAATTAGATTAACCTCTTGATTTCTTGTCTCAGGCAATATGCTATGTCGTTGTAAGGCCACTGTCGAAGAATTTGTACAGACGGATCAACCGTGTAGTTGCGGAACTGTTGTGGCTGGAACTTGTGTGGCTTATTGATTGGTGGGCAGGGGTTAAGGTGTTTAACCACTTCCAAGTTCTCTATGCAATTTTATTTTATTTTTTCAGTGGGCTGGGGCATTTGTTGTCTTCAAATTTAGTTAATTGTTCACCAGTGCATATTTTGTTTTACGCTTTGCTTGCTCTATGTGGTATTCTAAAAGATATCGAATTGGATCTGTATATTATTCTTAAAATGCATTTCTTCGTTACAAACCTGTAATAATTAAGTAACCTTTGGACCTGATAATCTCTACCTTCTCCTTGGAAGGGTGGTGTGGTAAGATTGGATGGGCACTTTGGCTACCTTGTGCGTGTGTGACTTACAAGGAGCAATACTTTGTGAGCTTTAGTTTATGTTGTATAATCAGGCCCAAACAGTGAAGGTTGTTCACTGGGAAATAAACCTACTTCCATTGTTTCCAGTACTACAACTGAACCAAATGTCAAAATTGATTTTTGACTTGAATAATGTGGACTTCCAACTGATTAAAGCTACTCTAGCTGGTATAAGGTATAAAATCTTTTATACAAGGAATGTTATTGAGCAAAGGGAACTCAATTGCTTATTTCCATGATTCCTCTGGCAGCAATGGCCAGAAATAGAAATTATGGAGCTTTGGTTATTGGCTATTTCTTATGTTGCTCATGGGCTTGGGATTGTTGGTATAAGATGTTTAGTTCATTCAATCATTAGCAGTTTTGGACTTAAAAGTTGAGGGAAGATACTTTAGCGACTTGCTACACGTATAGCACTGTAATTCATGTGGTTGGAGAGGATTATGAGGATTTGTTGTCATCCTTATTCTAATTCTTATCTTTTCTCAACTTTCTTGATAAAGCTTGTTTCCCTTTCAACCAACATAGCTTAAAAAAAGAAAAGAAACCCCAAACAAGGTAGAGATTTAGAGAGAGACCTGATGTTACTACTCACAGAGTCACAAGGCATGATTCAATTTAGCTCATAGATTCTCATTCTTCTCTCTTTTTAAATAAAGCTTCTTTTTTATTTATTTTTGTCAAATGAAAGCTTTGCTTTCTTAGGTTTGTCTTAATTGAAGGAGATACTGCCCTTCGCTAATTGTGTATCACCAGAGCAATTGGAAAGATTAGGCAATTGGACTATTCTTCAGGGAGCTCCTTTTGAAATCAGTTCCTTTTAAAGGATTATAATTGTTTAGGCGGGTGGTTGATTGTAGCCCTGAGACATGGAACTCAAGGAAATCATATTCTTTTGATATCTTTTCTCTTCTGTTGTTTAATACTTTCAAGAAACCTGATGTTATCAAAGAAAGAAAACTGATTATTTGAAAGGCATAATTTATGAACTGTAATTTAATAGTTTATTCTGTTGCATTTGGAATAATCAAATCTTTCATTTGGAATTTTCTGGCTCCAGGTCCAAGTATTCATGGATCGTGAAAACTTTCATTTGATGGGTAAGTCTTTTGCTAACCAATGCATTTAGCTTTAGGTACTTTTATCCCCTTTTCGTTCTGTCTTCTTGTGTTGTGCATGTTTGCTTGTCTTCTGGAAAGCAAAAGGGGCAATTTCTGGGGACAACATTTACCTGCATATAAGTCATCTGCTTTTGTTTTTGATTTTTCAGGTAAAGAACATGCACTTGTAATATGCAATCACAGAAGTGATATTGATTGGCTTGTTGGGTGGATTTTAGCTCAGGTGATTGTCTTGTTTGGTATGACCTTTTCCACATCTTCAATGCAAGAAAATTAACACGAATTCACATGTGTATACAGTCTATTAGCTCAAGTAGCTTATTTCATTAAAAGTATGAATTGTTTGATATTATCATACTAGTAGTAAAGGACACATAGTTAAGGCATAAGGCTTACTTATGTGTGTGCTATTGTATATTAAAATATGTTATTCTTTGATTTACTTCCTCACCCTACCCTCGCGAGTCAGGGTTTAATGGGGAGTATTTTTAGCGAATTTATTTTATTTGATTTGTGCTTCAACTGCTGATTGGTTATTTAACATTGTTCAACAGCGTTCAGGTTGCCTCGGCAGTGCTCTAGCTGTGATGAAGAAATCATCAAAGTTTCTGCCGGTATATGCTTCATCGTGACTTTTACTTTTGAAATGAAAAGATAGAATGATTCTTTTTATCCAGTTATTAGGAAGAAATCACTGAAATTGCACCCTGTACTTTAGAGGATCTTAATTCTTGGAAACAATGACACCTAATTCTCGTTTAGATGTTCCACTTTGTCTCAACGCTATGATTTTCCCTTTATATTATTTTGAGTCCAATGAACTACTGGGTGCAATTTGTCTGCTTGGAGGATACAAAAGCTCCTGGTTTTTTACCAGCTATGAATAATTTTAGCTCATACTTATGATGAGTAGAACATTAGAAGTATGGTTTTCGGCTTATAATGTCTCTATTATTTACTATCAATATTGGGATATATGCTAAGTTCTACATATGCAGGTCATTGGCTGGTCAATGTGGTTTTCTGAGTATCTTTTTCTGGAGAGAAGCTGGGCTAAGGATGAAAGCACATTAAAGGTATGAGTTAGTAAAGTATAATTAGTTTATACGCTTTATGCTCATAAGACATGAGATACATGTTCATGCTTGTCATATTGATTGCTTCTTACTTATTCAGCATTATATAAAATGACCATAATTTTTCTCTCTCTTGGTGCATGAGCTGTTTGATTACATTTGGGAATCTCATTTGAATGTTTCGTTATCATATCTGCAGTCAGGCCTCCAGCGACTGAGTGATTTTCCTCTTCCCTTTTGGTTGGCTCTCTTTGTAGAAGGAACACGCTTTACACAGGCCAAACTATCAGCTGCTCAGGATTATGCCACCTCGGCTGGATTGCCTGTTCCTAGAAACGTTTTGATTCCTAGAACTAAGGTGAAATATAAATATTTGCTTTTCTTTTTTATTTGTCTTGTTCCTTCACTTGCTTATCCTTCCACAGATTGGAAGCTATGCTGCATGAATCTGGTCTAGCTGTCAGGCTTAACTATTCTATGTTAGCATCTATACACTTGCAAATCTTAGCAGGATTCTCGATGAAGTTACTATTGCACTGCTTGTAATTAGGTTGATATCACTAATTCACTATAGCTTGCTAGGGTAGCCAAAGGGTTAATTCAGACTGGTAATATTGTGGAAAAGGCTTTTGTATACCATGTGCTAGGTTCATATGGACAGTTAATTGATTCATGAAATGTTTTGAGGACTATAAAGAAATTGACCTAGAGATTTAGTCAAACACAAGTTATTTAAATTACACAGATAATAGATTTTGATGTTTGTGTGTCCTGCATTACTTTGAGTGAAAAATCATAAATTCCTGTTTTTTCTGGATCGATCAATGCTAAACTTGAATTGTAATAAGCCTAACTACATGTTAATGTTATTGGATCATAATTGGTTTAAGGCTCTACATTGGAGCAGTTTCTGATAGTTAGTTACAAAAGCCTTGGTCAAAACGGGGATGCTAAAATTTTGTGGCAATGTGCATTTTCTGCAATCCTTTGGTGTATTTGGTTGGAGCAGCATGCTTGCATCTTTAAGGGTGTCTTTATTCCCCTAAACTTGTAGGGGACAGGATTGTGTTTATGGTCTTCAAGCTTTTCTTTGGTGTTCTTCCTCTGGTTTAAAGAGAGTTGCCATTTTTAATATGCATAGCAATTGGGCAGCTTTGCTGCATTCCTATGTTTTTACTTGTCCAATGTATGTGGTTTTTTCTGTATTGAAAGATATCATATCGTCTCCTTCGCTGTACTTTCCACTTTTCTCTATTAAAATTTATTTTTCTATATAAAAAATTGATTTGATACTACTAAGTATGGTTTGGAAATGATTTTAAATTCTCCTGCCATTTTTAATATGCATAGCAACCCCTATTAAATTATAACTTATATTGACTTGATCTCTATATGTTACTTTCTTACCTTGGCCTACTTCTTTGTTCTTCCAAGTTTACATGGTTAACACATTCAATCTGACTTATTGGACCATAATAGGCTGCATGCTAGCCATTATATTTGGTCCTATTGTTCTTTTCTGTGGCTTGCTCTGAGATATTTACTCAATTTTTTTGCTTTCAGGGGTTTGTTTCTGCAGTATGTAATATGCGCTCCTTTGTTCCTGCCATTTATGATGTAACAGTGGCTATCCCTAAGAGTTCACCGTCTCCTACAATGCTAAGACTCTTCAAGGGGCAACCTTCAGTGGTAAGCAAATCAAAATCAAGATTTAGAAATTACTACATCTGAAGTACCCCTCAATTTTTTTTCTGCCCATATTATGTACAGAAGTGTCATTGAATGTTAGTGTTATTTTGACCTATTTTTTTATATATCAGACACAACAGTTGTGGTTTTCCTAGTGTTGAATTTTTTTATTTTATTTTTTCTGTTAACAATTTGTATGTTTGTGATTTGATTGACTTTTTCTTGCTGAAACTGTCAATAACTCAATCCTTTTGCTTTCGGAAGTTTATTGTGTTACATTATTCTCCGACTAAGTAATTCATGGTTAGAGAATGAAACTGCAGAAAATAACCCTTATGGGATTAGAAATAGGAATTAGATGGGATGAAAGGTGTGAGTTCCCTGTTCAGTGTGTGTCTCAATATGTGCACATTATTCTGTACAAGTTAATTTACCTGATTATGCAATGGTATTAATACTAGGGCACTTATCTAACTGCTTTGGGCAAATGGAAGCTATGAAAAAAGCAGGCCAAGACAAGCCAAGGGTTCAGGGAAAATAAGAAGAATTTGGAAAAGGCTTTTTGTTCTTGTTTTCTATGTTAAGCGACAGTATTTTTAGGGACTTTGGAGGGGAGCACTGTCACTGTTTGAGGAAAAATAAGAAGAAATATGACTTAACACTCTGCATATGTTTGAAGATCACTAGTGCTTTTAAAGATCCATAGTTTTCTATTTATCTACTTAGGGGCTGAAAGATTTTACGGGGCTCTTTTATGCTGTCTGGCCTGTGGAATATTTGAGGGTCGCTATTTTGTTGATATTGAAGGGATTGGATGGCTCTATTATGTTTAGTCTTTGCTTTAATTTGTTTGGCTTCATCAAGAGGATTCCTAATTTTCCTTCCGAGTGTTACGTATTTTCTTTATAAAATGTCTTGTTTAATTAACAATTTACTTGATTTTTACCACCACAGGTACAAGTTCATATCAAGCGGCATTTGATGAATGAATTGCCAGAAACAGAAGAAGCTGTTGCTCAATGGTGCCGAGATTTATTTGTGGCCAAGGTGCGTGCGGATTGAATTTGCGCTGTATATTTATTTGCGTTGTATATTTTCTCTGTATATTCTTGTGCTTTGATTGTTTAATAGTATCGCTCATTTTCTTTCCCTTTTAACCCCTGGGTATGCCAGGATGCATTGTTAGACAAACATATAGCCGAGAAGGATACTTTTGGTGGTCAAGAGCTGCAGGATACTGGTCGACCATTGAAGTCTCTTCTGGTGAGATACTTTCTGAATATGTCTAACCCTTTAACATTCTTATTTATCAGTTTTCCTTTTACTGTACCCTCGTTGCCTAATGATCCATCAATTTCATGCTGGGAGCAGGTAGTTATATCTTGGTCTTGTCTGGTTGTTGCGGGGTTTGTAAAGTTCCTACGATGGTCTTCACTGCTATCGTCCTGGAAGGGTGTTGCATTTTCAACTTTTGGTTTGGCAGTTGTGACTGGCCTCATGCACATCTTGATTCAATTCTCACAGTCAGAGCGTTCAACCCCGGCCAAGGTTGGCCCAGCAAAGCCAAAGAACAAGGGGGAACAAGTGGAGGCTATGAATGACAAACAACAGTAAGATTTCATATTTGTTGCCCAAACCCAAATCTTCAATACACACATAGCAACTTCTTCTACAATCCTATTTTGGTAAACAAAAAGTTGCATTTATGTGTGTTTAGTGACCCACGTAATACTCATTTTTCTTTCAAAATCTACCCCATGGTATGTATTCAATTCTTCTATGTAGTATTATGTATGCTCATCGATTCATTGTTCTCAAATTAATTAGGATAACTATGTGTCGACAATTCAGGATGTTCTAGAAAAATCCTGCCCCATCTCTTATTTTTCTTTTGCACTTCCTATATTCCCCTACTTGACACTTACTACTGGCTTATGATCACCTACACGGGTGGCTATTGTCCAATGAACAGAGTTTGTCTAGTTTTGCCATGGTAACCAGGTGCCTTGCCTTGTGGCTGGAACTGGAAATGTGTCGTTACCGATACGTTCCCTCAGCTCTAGACCTCTACGGTTCCTGATATTCCTGGCAAAGTTTTAGAACTTGGAGCAAAACTATAATTTTTGTTTTTTAATGTATATTACTATTTCTGATGTATATGCGAGTTTTGGTAACGTGTGCCTTAAGGTTGACGAATTAAAATTTTGTAAATTCAAAAGCATTTAATAATTTTTTAAAGTAATTAACATAAGTATTAACTGTTATTTTTAATATGTGCTTTGAGTGTGTGTGTGTGTGTGTATGTATATTAATATATATATATATATATATATATATATATATATATATATATATATAGAGAGAGAGAGAGAGAGAGAGAGAGAGAGAGAGGTGTTTGTAATTGGATGTAATTTTATGAAATGAACAACTGCTTTGATTATTTTTTACCCCTATAACTAGGGAATAAAAAAATACAAATTGATGAGATGTACCATCATCATCATTTTTTTATAAATTATAATATATAATGATTGCATAGCTCAATTTCTTGAGGGGACAAGTTAAGTGAAATCAAAACTGTGAGAACTAAATTACTCAAATGAAAATTATGGTGGCAATTTAGGAGGATTATCCGAGTGATTCGCTACTAAATAATAAATTGCATCTGCCCAGTTTCTTCTCTTGCCTCTTCAGTGTTGCTTAGTGAAAGTTGGTTCTAGGCCCATATAAGATTGAACCAAAGGCCCTCTAACCAACCATGGTCCAACACATTCTTATAAATGTCAAAATCAACGTAAGTAAATGAATACATTATACGGCTTTATGTGCATGTTATATCTGCCAGAGTATTTAGATGACACAACACAAAGCGACAACGTCTCAATTATGATATCAGAATGGGTTAGTAGTTTGTGGTCAGTCGAAAGCTCAATGCTACTGCATGAAAATGACATCATTTTTTGGACTTTTCGGAGGTTTAATGATGACTGAAAATCGAAGCTGTTCTTTTATCCTCCCCCCCCTCCAGTACTCTTTCACGATAACTACAGTTTTGTCAGATTTTTTCGGTAACAAAATCTATATGCAGCCCATTGTGATTGGAAATTTGAATTTTTTTTAACATATGTATATGTCAGTTGATTTTATAAAGTCTTATCATGGGGTGGAACGGAAACTATAATTAAGAAAGACTAATGTGGCTTTCATAGTCAACTTGACCAAACATCTCAGTTAAGTGTTAATTCCTTTCATGCATGAATGCGGAAAAGTAATGATATTGAGAGGCGAATAGCGCAGAGCTTGATGTTCAATTCAATCAGGCCACTGTGTATTCGGTTTCTTTAATTGTGATGTTACATACACGAACAGGATGGGATACATGCCATGATAGATTTTAGCTCTTTCTCTCATCATGAACAGTGGTTTCAATTAAACCTAGAGATAGAGAGAGAAAATTATGTCACGAGTTTGTACGAACAGTGACTCTGGATATCATCATGCTTCAATTTAAATGCCATCTCTCTTCCAAGATTTAGTGTCACCAACTGTCCTAATTTAGACCCACTAGACTGTACATTAGTACTATTATATAGCTTCCTTTGTTCCTTTGTTTATTTTTTCATTCAACATGTGTTACACCCTCATATTTCTCACACATAGTTTATGTCATGCTAAATGTCAATATGATTAATAATACCAGTTAAAGTCAGATGAATATACTATCGAAAATTCTTGGAGAAGGTTAGAGACTATCATCACTATAACTGAATAGAGCATTTTATGCAGAATGAAATCATTTAAGGAGCAATAATATCTTTTTTTTTTTTTTTTGGTATCCTAGGAGCAATAATATCTTATTACTCGATACTTTACTTCTTATAACTGCATATCGTTCTGTTCCTTTGGATTGTGAAAATTCTAGTATCCATATTATTTTAGCGACTAGAACTTTCTCTTTGTATATTAAGAAATTATTATATATTATAACTTAATTATAACATATCTATACAAATTAATCTCCAACTATTGAGTTAAAGAGTTTTTTGTATTTTTTAATGGGTTATATTTATCTCATTTTGCATGAGAGAAATAAATTTTCTACACACACAAAAGAGAGGTGTGTCACATCTCTTTTTTTTTTCTCTCTTCTTACCTATGTGTCTCATTTATAATTTTGTTTCTATAGCATGAAATAATTATTTTTCTACAAGATAAGAAAACTATTACCTTTTTTTAAGCTAGTTAGATTCTTAAATTTCTTAGAAATAGCTAATAGGAATATTTCTCTAGTCAACCTATTTCCTACGGGATCACTGGAACTTAGAAGAATAGGGAGAAATTAAGAAACTAAGTTTTTTTTTTTTTTTTTTTTAAGTATGGAGTCCTATATATTCTTCATGATGATTATCGGGATTAGCAATTGCAGGGTAGAGATATTTGGAAGTTTTCAGAAGACATGGGCATGGAAACAAAAATGATGTTTAGTTAATTACCGATTCTCGTTTTACAATGCAAACTTACTCGAGCTGTCTTGGAAATATAAAAAAATTAAATAAGCATGGGATCTCTAGTCAACACAAATACTCCTTTTTTGCTAAAATTGTTTGATTGTGTCCCCTTTTACCTGCACAAATTTCAGTTCTATCTTTTGTTACATGTATTCAAACCACGCTAGAGTGTCTAACTCATTTCAAACATATCCAAAATAATATTAAAAATATTTGCTTTGTTTTTCCTTGAATGACAAACCTATGCATATAGAGCTTCCCCCACTCCATGTTCTCCTGTACGAAATTGTGCTTACATGATGTATTCACTTAAAATACTGCTACATGTTTTCACATTTCAAAAAGAATTTTCAAGTGCCCAACTTAACTTTCTAGTGCTTTGAACTTCGTGAAGCTATCTTCTCATTTCAGTGAGATCGAGAAAAATAAAAGTGAGTTTTATTTGTTTGTTTCAAATAATATTTGAGATGGGTATAAAGGAGGGGAGGTAAAGGTGAAGAGAGCATGGGAATTTTTTTGAATATATTGGATGTACCTATTTGGGTATATATATATATTTTAAATGGAGAAATTATTTTTTCATTTATATCCTTATTTTTCTTTATTTTTTTCATTAAATCCCTTTTATTTTTCATTAAATAAAGATGTACCTGTATCTTATATACCAAAGATTTTCTAGAGTAATTATTATAACTGGAAGGAGGCACTATTTATGCTACAGAGCTACTTCTGTGAAGATAGTACAATTCATAACGATATTCCGATTGTCTATTAGATTGTCTATTAATGAATTAATAGACAATCGGAATAAGAAGGTGACAAGTACTTTCCTTTGGTTAAGAATAAGTATTCTACATACGTAAAATTAATAACATGCTCTGAGTTATCAATGGTGGACTGGTGGTGTTAATCATCAGTACAGTGCAGCATAATTAATGAGCTATAACTTTAGTACTCTTTGCTTTATTTTGATTTATGTTCTTAGAATGAATTATTTAAGTAACTACTTTAAGAATTTTTTTCCAACATAATGTTAGTTAATTTTTTTTTCTTGATTCCAGCTTGCGGGTTCTTGATTGAACAAAAAGAAGATTTCATGCTCATTTATGGTCAATTTCTATTTATACATGCCTATGGAGTTTGTGTAATGTGTAAAGTAAATCTTAAAATATTATCAATGTCTAGTTAAATTAACATGTTACTATGACATTTCATATGTGTATATATGGTGTACAGTGGTTTAGTGAAATGAAATGACTAAACAATTATAAAACTAAAAGTTTCTTTTGTAATTACAAAATTTTGTTCTACACGATATATATGTATATTATGATTAAGAAAGAGTTTCCTCATTTAACAAGGCAAGAAGCAGTTGAATACCATTTAATATTTTAATTATGGAGTAAGAGTGTCGTACCTTTTTTTTTGTTTTGGTAGAAGAGTGTCGTAGTTAAAAACATGGGTCATTCAACTATAATCTTTTATTGTTCCACCATGTTTTGCACATATCCTTCCATATATATTTTGAATAATTTATTCAGAGAACAAAAGTATCGTACGATGGCGTTGAAAATATAAGTCATATATCCAACTATAATCTTTATGTGTTCATGATGTTTTGTACCCGGTTTTCAAAAAGTCCTTCATAATTTCTTTTCATCAGTCAGCGCATAAGGCTGAATCTGAATGTGAACAGTAGTGTCATTTCTTAGAAGGTAAATTATATTTTGAATAAATACTCTTTTTAGTCGTAGCAAATTTCACGATGCCTGCTTTAGTTCCTAGCAAATAAAAAAGATATTTGTGGTCCTTAAAAAATTCAAAATATACCCATTTAGTTGAAATCGTGATCCCTCACAAATTCAAAAAAAAAATCCATATTAGTCTCTTAAAAGGACTAAAATGGGTCTATTTTGAATTTCTTAGGGACCACGAATAACCTTTTTATTTGCTAGGAACTAAAACAGGTATCGTAAAATTTGCTAAGGATCGAAAAGTATATTTACTCTTATATTTTAAAACTTTTTCTCTAGATTAATTTAGTATATATTAAGGTTTTTCTTTATATCTTATTTTCAAACTGTTTGAAATATACTAAAATTATTAATAACTTAGTTAAAATTAACAATGGAGAGATCATCAACAGAGTATAAAGCTTTTTCTAATGTTTTTGTTTACTATATGATCAAATTTTTTAAAGTATGTTTTAGATATTAAATCTACTCAATAAGAGTTGGCACATTTGTTCAAACCTTTCATCCATGGTAGACACATTAAACTCAGAAACCAATAATGTCAGCACAACATGTCCCTAGCTACAATCAAACGGTCATTCTCTTTCACATACACCCGCAAGCTGCGGGTGGGGTGGGAAGTGAGAGCCAATGGTAGCAATCTTTGCATCAAATTTTTAAGTAATTTAAATCTTGGATGTAGATTGTCTTTGTAAAATGGTACATATAACTGATTCTACCCTGCTTTTTGTTTGGACCTTCTTCTCCTATAGCTTCCTCTTGGATGCTATTCTTTGGACCACTGTACACTGGCCAACACATTCTTTGGCTCCTTTTGCCATCGGAGGGGTCAACTAGCTAGTGAACAGCATGCATGCATTAAATGCCTCTCAACATTTAGACTTAAACTTACACTGCAGGTTGGTCTGCTTGTACTCTCCTACACA